TTAAGAGAACACCTCAGTGGCTGATTGCCTCAGGATAAGAAATACTCACATGGCATCCAGTGTAAAGCCATGAGGAGAGCAGGACACTCCGGCTCTGCCGGGGGAAACTGAGGACAGTGCAGTACCCAGCAGGGCACAGCCTGAGTGATGTGCCTTGGGATGAGCTCCCAGTGCCTGCTSTGTGCCAGGTCCCTGCCTCGGGGTGGCCCACAAACTCTGGGTGTCCTGATATAAAACAGCTGTGGCTTCTTTAGCAATGAGAATAATAGGAGAGGAAACCGAACAGAATGTGCCTGGGAGTGAAACCCTTGCCTGGCTCTTTGGGATGTATTTGGAATGAGATGTTTTCAAGTCAGTGTATGAGAATTCCTCACTTCGTGTCTGTACTGCTTGTAAAATTTCATTTATTTTGTTTCAGCAGCACAAATATAATTTGAAATGTTATTTGAAATGGCCACAATCCAAGTCTTCAAGAGTTGGCTATTCTGTGCTGAATCTTAATCTTTATGAGTATCTTTGAAGAGCACATTAATATAAATATTTGCTATTTTAAAATGCCTGGTTTGTGCTATTTAATAAATTAATATGTGTCATGATTATGATGCTTGTAGCAGTGAGCTGTATTTTTTTTTAACCATTATGACTTGTTAACTGGAATGGTTCCTAAAGCCTGGGACTGTGCACTCTACAGAAAGATCATGTGTATAACATGAATCTGCTTCTTTAACACAGCTGCAGAGAGAATCCAGCATATACAATAAATAGAACTTCATGGTAAGTAAATAGACCTTGAGCAACATCTGGAAAAAATTGCGTAGGTCTTTAAGGTAGCCACTGTAAGCAGTTGCTAATCTAAACCTGCCTACATAAATGCAGTTAAATTTAAGTCTCATGCATGTGTGTGCAGGGCTAAAAAGGTGCTGGGGAGACCTGCCTGTATGAAGCTATATGAAGGGAAATAAATTTTTTCAATGGCAGTATGAGTTCGAGGAGGGAGCCTGAGTAATTCAGCCTAAAAAGACCGCAGCATTCTCTGTTGAATCTTTACTATTACCTGAATGTGTAACTGTGTGTTCACTGTACTGTGAGGTCAAAAGCAGATTTGTTCTTATTTCCTGGACAGATGGGTCCCCAGACGTAGGAGCCATGAGTGGCTGTGTGCCAGAACTCTTAGTCCTGTCACTTTTTCAAATCTGGTACAGCATGGTAGAGGTTAAACTTGTGGCTTGCTGGTGACCTTAACTTATCATCCTCTGGGCATGAATACCTGCTGTGGGATTTACCAGCACAGCCAGCCCTTTTTTGGTGGTTTCACTAGAGATAACATTCTGACTAAACTGGGGAGGTTGGAGACTCCACTRTGATCATCTGCATGCTTCTCTTAACACCTCAGGAAGAAAACAAGTGGGTTCTTACCCTATGCATCATACCAGCTCAAACTGACTTGAATTCTGCAAAGGTGTGARCCCATCAGATATGGAGAACAGAAGCCACAGTAATGAGATACCTGTAGAAATTATGCTGGGACTGAAACCAGTTGTTTTCTCACTTTGGAATTGAAGGATGTATGGGCAGAGCTTCTGTAGGTGGATGAGAGAAGAAAGGGAGGTCCAAGAAGATGTGATTCCTCTGAGATTGGAAGGTGGCTCCAAAGAGAAGTCAATAGAAACAGATATGTGGGTACAATGTACTCCAGTGCAGCTCATGTWGTACCCAGCCTGTAAATCAGAAGGTGGTTGTGGTCGCTATAACTACCATTCCGGCTCTTTTCACCACAAGTGGTTTATTTAAAAACAAAAGCTCCTTGAAGCCATTATGTGGTCCAAACTTGGCTTAATTTAGTTATGGAGTATTCACAGCTCCCAGCTGCGTTTCAGATATTTTCAAAGACTTGCTCTTTTGCTTACRTGCTTACTACAACATTACCTTTGAACCTTGCTTGGCACAGTTGGTTCAGAGGAAGGGGTAAAGCWGAGATTTCCTGTATGTATTTCTGCAGGAGGCTCTGAAGTAGAGCAGTTTTCCRCTGTTCTATTTAAGAGCAGGCCTTTGGATTAGCTGGCTTTGACCCAAGCCTTGTAGTTCTCCCTCTTAACACTGGCATTATAGATAAAATATTTACGATACATTCTTGCTAGATTTTCAGGAAGCAMCTTCTCACTGAACCTTCCAGGAAGGTACACTTCTCCAAAATACTTTCCGGCTGGGGCGGTCCAGTTTTGGCAGTTTTGGTGGCCAGATTGTGGGACCTTTTGGGTGGGTTGTCCCTCTCTTGGGTGAGCTGCTGCCTTTTCCCTGGCACCAGCTGCTGCTAGCACTGCCGTGGTRGGAACAGCTGCATCCCAGCTGTGTCCATTGGGTTCAGGAGGAAGTGTTTAGCTGTTCAGGCAGTGTTTGCTGCTGAAATCAGTATTCCTTATCTCCTTTGGAAAATGTTAGCTGTGGATGGGAATCAGCTCATACTTTAGTTCTTGGACGCACTTTAGTGCATGTTCCTCTTGGCATTTGCGTCAGATGCAGTGTGTCTGGCCATGGTGTATAGCAAGAGAAACTTTCTAGTCAGCTTGAAAAGTAACCTGAAAAGGAAGGTAAATTCAAAAGACTGAAGATGGTTTAGCATAAAGTGTCCAGAGTTCTTAGACTAGCTGAAATCAGCTGGTGTTTGGGTTGATTCAGCTGGTGGTAAGTTACATATGGGCATGCACAGGGAATAATTAGGAACATGAGGTCAGAGAAGAGCATGTGAATATTCTGCTCTCAGAAACCTTAAGAGGTCCTGAGTTTTATGCCAGAGCTTTGTAATCATAACACAGCAATTACCAATAACAACATCTAAGAATAAGTGCTGGTAAAGGRCAGGCAGCATAGGTATTTTTGGAAGTCAGTAAATAGAACAGTTACAATTAAAAATAAATAATCTTTTAATATTGCTTTTGTTTGCTTTTATGTCTCCAAGATACCTCCCCCCCCCAGAGGAATAGCTGAACATGTTGGCAAAGGTATTTCAAATGTTTCTCTCTGATCTTTCTGAATATTACAAGGCAATTCCACTTAAAGACTATGCAAAGATGTATGTGGCCTTTGAAGTCACAGGAAAGGATGTAAAGTTTGGTCCCAAGTGTCTGCTTAACTCATGTCTTTTCTGACACCCTATGCAGCATTCCCTGAGAGCTTTTAAGAACAGATGCCCATGATAGCTGCATAGTTGTTTCTTTTTCATTGCTTGTTCAGTTCCACTTTTATAGTGCTATTCTCAGTGTGTTCTTTTAGGTCAGGATGAGTTCATTCCCTGAAGAAAAAAAACTGATCAGTTGAACATAAATTGCAAGTGTTCCAAGCATCAGTTAACTTGAGACTGACCCTGGAAACTGCTCTTCCAGTTCAGTTCCTATGGCTTTCTCATCATTCAATACCAGTGGCTGGGTGAAGCTGGAAAGAGGAATTTAGCACAGAAGCAAGCCAGACTGGTAAATCATCTGTTAGTTCTGCTGTCTGGAAACTGAGGCAGGAGTCAAATTTCATTTTCCGCTTCATGCCGCCACTATCAGTCGGTGCACCAGTGATGTTTAAGGACAGGTCGTCAAGGCTGTTCCTGTTCTGAGTCTTTCAGTATTTGGGGATGCTGCACTTCCCCATTGCTTACCTTCATTTAAAAAAAAAAAAAAAGTAGGGAATATAAAGCATAGCCTAAAGGAAAGGGAGAAYGTGAACTTAGTTTCTCTGAAGGAAGAAGTGGTCAGCAGACCCCTGTATTCCACCTGATATTGAAAGCAAGACTGCAGATGACAGGGCTGGGTAAAGCTTTCCTAGGGAAAAAAAAAAGATAAAAATGAGCGTTTTTGCCCAGAGCTGTAAGTGGTTCAGGTAAGTAGACATAGACCCCATCTTCTCTATCCAAAAATGCTTGCTTTTCCCAAATGTGTCTCTCCTAAGCAGTGACTGGTATACCAGATGATCTTCTGCTAAGTCCTTTRAAGCTAATTGGCCTCTAGAAGGCATTAGGTTGTCTGTACCCTTAACCACTTGGTGACAGCAGGGATCCTGAGCAGAAAATGTCTTGCACATGTTCTGTTGTTTATTAATATCCTCCTTAAAGTGGTGTTGAAATAGAATGATTTTATAGAGGCGATGTATGTTAAACATATCATTGCTGGAATCATCAGCAGATGTGCATGATATTTTATGACCAAATTTGTACTAATTGGAAGGAATTTTACCTGCTGTGATCTGAGATGGTGTGTCCATCTCTAGCCTTCAATAATTTGGGAGCTTCTTCACTTCTGATCAAAATAATGCTGTAGCCTTTTTAAGAGTTAGTTAAAAACACATTTGCAATCTAACCTTTCCTTTTTTTTCATGTGATAAGAGATTAGGTAGGTTCTTAACCTTTTGTTTTACATGTGGTTTAACTTCTCTTTCAATATTTCACTGGCAGTTTTATGGGCCAAGGCCAAAAAACTCTGCTTGCTAAACTTGAGCAATCAGGAGGGAACAGATGATGAAAAACTAACAGTGTTTTACTCATCTACCACTCATTTTTCTTCACAGATGTGTAGAGAGTAGATATTAACACAGACAGTAATAAAAYGCACTGTGAGTACTCATAAATCGATGTGTGCTGCTGGGGTCAGGAACAAATATTGGAAAGGTTAGAACATGTAGAGAACAGTGTTCCCACTCTGTGACGCTCAAAGCAAGGCTGGGAGTTTTTCAGTTGCTGATTTGAAAGCAATTAGTGGGAGGCATTTCTGTGGCTGCCCAGGAGGCTTTGTGCTGGCTGGGTGTGTGGTCAGCTCTTTTTTTTAGTGGCTACAGTAGGTCAGGTAACACGCTGAAAAAGAAGTCCTGTGTGAATCAGGGCTATCCTATTGCACTGCTAGGGACAGATGTTTTTAAAGGTGTCTCAGAAGCCAGGAGATCCAAGCTGTTTGCTCATCTGCAGCAGAACAAGACTGTTGAATGCATCTTCAGGTCTACATYGACAAGATCCTTGAGGTTCCCTGAAGAGAGAAGTCCCAGCCAGAGGGAAGATTCAGCRTCGGGAACTCTCAGCTCAGGTTGTGGGATAACAGGGATGTGCTGATGGTGCCTTCTTAGTTGTTTGTTAATGTTCTCTCACCCTTCAGGCTGGCAGGTTTCTTCCAGTTTGCAGCTGATGAAGTGCAGATCTGTCACTTCATCGTGTTCCTTCTGAGAACTGCTTATGCTGAGACAAATGTGGAGACAACACCGTGTCCTCCTCTGCTCCTGCCAGGGAACAGTCTCCTGTGTCAGCAGGATTGATTTAACATGAAATGTAGGGAACTGTAGGGCACATGGAAAGGTGACTTTCCTCCAAATTAACTCAGTGGTTTGTGTTTTGCTTGGACGAGATAGTAAGAAGTTTCCAAAGAAATGAGGTTGATTCAGTTGGAAAACKGTTTAATGTAGGTCTTTGGAATCACTTGATAAAACTGAGACAGTTAAGTTATCARAGAGAAGCCAGAAACTTAGCAAGAGCTCAAAGTCATCATAGATGTTCAGTTATTTTACTGATTAATTTCATTGCTTAGGTTGCCYAACGAAAGCTGTACAAATTAGCAGTCTTTTAGAAGAGCATGGGAATACTGCAAGGAAAGTATTTTAWAATTAATTTACTTACAGAGTTTCCTGTAATGGTGCCTCAGTACTACACATCTGTCAAGATTAAATGAGATTTGGGGTCTGATAACATCTATGTGGGAACACTATTGTGCCCTTAGGACARATTTGTAATTTCATTTGTAATCAGGCAGACTATAATTACTATATTTGCCTCTGATTAAAAAAACAGGTCAGAAAAGTAATGAATTGTGCTYCTTATATGATGGGGGGCTGGGGGGAGGAATTTCACACTGTAAAAGCACTTCAAAATACCCAGAGTCTTCACGTTGCCTGATTTTCCATCTTTGTGCTTGCTGGGTTGGTAGGTCTGTGTGGCTTGTTTCTCATCAGCAGGGAGCTGCTGACTGCTGAGAACAGAGGGCAGGAAAGGTTTTGGGTACATGCCTTTGTGATCTCCGTGATGAGTGCTGGGTACSTGCCAGCCTCTGATTTGGGGAAAAAAAGGACTTTCTGTGTGTCAGGGGAGGGGTACTTGTAGGTATTGAACTCRGAGGAACACAGAGAAGGAGGAAGTTGTTCTTGTGGCCTTTGTGAGCATTTCAGGAGGGTATTGAAGGCAGCCCAGGGTCAATTTTGATGAGCTGAACCTGTATGCAGGCTGTTCTCMCCTGAAAGGCTGGATCAGCCTCAGGGATCTCTTGGAAGGGAGCTGGGTAACCATTATTATGGATGGAAGCCCATGAAGTCTGTATTACACTAGAATGTATCTGGAGCCCTGTATGTTAGGATGGCAAAGAATCAGCCATGATTTCTGTATTTATTTTCACAGTGCCCTTTCCAGCTGAGRAGTATCATTATTTTGGTTTGTTTGTATTTTGTGAGCAATTAGCTATTTGAAAATTGGCTGAGTTTTGTGTATTAAGTCCCTGCCTCTGCTGGCTATTATTCTATGTCTGGCTTAATTCCATAGTCATCCTTTTTTTTTGAAAGATGGGTTTATTTGTCAAAGATCTGTCTCTTATTGGTGGGTAAGTTCTTAAAAAGAAGCGAGACCAAGTTAGTATATGAGCATTTGGTAAGCTTTTTCCTTAAAGAAGCTGGGAGAAGAAGGGAATGGCACCAGAAAAGAAAACTGTTAGCAGGGAACGAAAGTTCTTACTGGTTTTGACAGTTCTCTGAATTATTGGATTGTTTTCAGCTGTTGATCTCAGTGTTTATTTTCAAACCCTTTTTTAATGAAGGAGGAGCCAGTGTTCCCCAGTTCTTTACTCAGCAGCGCGTCCCTTGGCGAGTGTTGTGTCTGGAGCCCCGGGACTCAGGCTGAGCAGCCAGTTGGCTCTCCTCACCARGGCGGAGCAGGGAACGTTTTCTTTTGAGGCTGGAGGGAGACATGAGTTCATGTTTCCAGCCTGAAGAGATGTTCAGATGCTGATTCTGCTGTCACATCTGTTTGTGTAGCCCATAAATGTATAGAGAGGGTCCATCCTGCATGGAAGAGGGTTCAAGTGTCTCTAAAAATCATCCTTCAACTTTTTAAAGACTGGGAAAAAGCTAGAATGAAGTTTCAGTATCTTTGCTTTTCCTATAAAATATTAATGAAGCAGGGATGTGATCTTCAGAGACAAGAGGGTTTTTTTACCAGTAAGCTCGGTCAGTAAGAAAGACAATAAAAACGTACTCCCTCACCTTCCGTGTTCAGAAGATAAAATGAACTTTTGGCTGTTTGCATTATCCAAGCTGTCCTGGTTGCATGCTTTCAGAATTGACTGTGCCACTGAGCCTGGCTGTGCACCTCAAATACTCTGTCAGTTGCTACCATGCTTCTGGAARGGCCATTACGTCTGCATTCACTTCCTGAAACGCACTGGAATCTAATGAAAAGCATCATTGTTTTGAAACACCCTGGTCTGCTGCCAGAAGAGCTACTGTTGTATAATCCWTAATAGCAGGTTAGAGCAGCAGTTGCCCCTGGGTTTGAAATTGGTATGTGGCAGGATGGCTTCCCGGTTCTCTCTCTGGGGATGGCACGCCTCGTCTTGTTCTTCCCTTGGGATCTGTGGCTCACACAGTGTTCAGCTGTCCTGAGCTGGGAGTAGACCCTTGAACAGGCTTGAACACCAGTTTAGGGTGACAATCCCAGGGAAGAGAAAGTGGCGATGTCCTTTGAGAATGGGGAGCAGTGCTCTGTTTGCYGAGTACCAGGGATTACACTGGTCTGTTTTWGCCAGCACATCGTTGTGATGTAAAAGAGGTGGAATAAGAAAAATTATCTTGACTTTYCKTTCTGATTTGCAGAACTCKGTGTGTTCACTTCCAYGCTGACATTTCTGCCTTTCATGATYTTTGWGTTAACCTGCAGCTTGACTTTCACGCTGCCAGGCTTCACCTGTGTAGCAARGATAGTATTTGCAGGTGTCATTCAAACATTGAGTTTCTATTGTGRTGGACATTGGCATCAAAGTTTACCACTCCATTTTCAACTAAAGCAAATACATGGGAACTCTGATAAGTATTTTTTAAATAAGTATTCCATAAATAATTTCTTTAGGGTGGACTGTATTGCAGCAAAGGGGTCAAATTCATCTCTGGGTTTTAWTCTTTCAGGACTCTGGGCAACTAGAGCAATTGCTTACAGAAAAAACAGTGTGAGTAAAATATCTGAATTATGTTAGGTGTTTCTTACTGGGATTTAACAACTGGAAACAAAACACAGTGAGAACATCTTCATAGTCAGGTCCATGCTTGCCTTTGGCAGGCTCTCAGTTGGACAGCAGTTTGGGAACCTCCGTGGCAGAGATTACCACAGGCTTCTGAAGGCCTTTTCCCAAGGAAGCGACTTTCCCAGGGCCATCAGAGTGCACAGTTTATGTTGTTGTTGGCTCAGAGGAGCCTTTGTTTATCCATTCACCTTCTCTCYATGAGAAACCACTTTCTGGAGGTTTCTTTAGAATACTGGTTGTATCTCAGCCTCCTACACCCTGAGACATTGGGATAYAATGTGAGGAAGAGTCACCTGAAGCACAATAGTTGGTTTGACTGACCTACTGTATAGCTCAGACCATTTGACTTTTCTGCATTAATTCTCGACTCGGTRGAAAAAAATCTGATTGAAACAGCCACGCGCTTCATTTAGAGTCTCTGATGATGGAAAAAGTATTTCAGAAATTTGCTATTTCGTAACTAACTGTCCTCTCTGTTAATATTTTTTSTGTTGGTTGATTTATTTAACTTCCAGTCACGGGGTCTCRTTCTGTCATTGCTAGACTGAGAGCYCATCACAGTCAGGCTGCTTGTCTGTGTGCAAATGCTTCTAGACCATTTTCCAATCACCTGCAGAGCTCCTCTCTGTTCATTGGCAGCCTTCCACTCCAACCTTACTCTCTCTCCCAGCTTTATTCCTTTCTCAGTATAATCAGCRTCGTTCTGAATGGGGCAGCTGGCTGAAGACAGCTTCCAGCAGAGTTTGTGTCAGTCACAGGAGAGAGACATGGAGTCCTGCTTGGTAGGCTTGTACCATCCAAGGATCATATTTGACCTGAAGTTGCAGCATTTTTGTGAGACCTCAGTTTGCTAATTCTTCTCTCTGTGGCATAGCTATAGTGCTTCTGGATAAAATCTAACATTCCTTAGGTATGGTCCTCCTTGTTTTTCTATCGCTGGGAAAAYGGGGCACACTGGAGTTAGAGAAGTGGAGAAATAGCATTACCCCTCACACACTCTTTGTGTAAGAAACAGTAAGTTGGAAATAATTGAAATGATAGTTCTGGAAGAGAYAGAAGCACGAGCTGTATGGAATGTAGAAAATACGCTGATTAGCTCACTGGAGAATGGAATTTCTGTTTCAAGGCATTAAACTCACTTGCAGGTCGATGAGGAGAATGGTGGTCTCATGGTACTCAGGGTTAGATTTGAAGTTTGCTTCTCATAGAGTTGCACTGCCAATTTCATTGTTTTCCAAATTCTGCTCTAACTATCCATAAAATGGATGATAATTAAATAATACTTTATATTTTAATGAGCTAGTGCTTCTTGGAATTCCTGAAAGAATAGAACTCCTTGGATAGAAATGCRTGGACACACGAAGAAACTCCAAATTTATATCTTCGTGGGTTTTAGTGCATGTAAGGCATTTGGGTCCCAGAGCATTGCTGGAGCTCTAGGGACTGCACAGCCACTCCGTGGGTATGGTTGTCAGTAGAAATGGTCTGATAAAAAAATGCATTCAGAAATATTCCATGTGTTACCACTGTCTGTCCGTCAGACTGTAGTCAAATGAACGTATGACTGGGAATGCTTTACCAATTTCACTGAAAGCACATTCTTGGGAAAAGCAGCTTTCATTATGTAAGCACTATAGTGGTATCCAAGAGTAGCTACTACCCCCTTCCTGTAGGAAGAGTCAGAGCCAGTGTCAGAGATTTCAGGCTTGGAGCTGGGAGRGTTAGTATGATCAATGGAGCAAGGAGAGTGTTAT